ATTCCCCCCCCCCCCCCTAGAAACCACCTTTAAAATAGGTAATTCTACTGAAATTACCTTTGAATTTCAATTTATCCACAAATCACATTTAAAATGGGTTTTGTTGTAATCAATCACCTCTCATTCAATTTTTTTGCTAAAAATCCAAAAATAGCCTTGAAACTCACATTCAAAGCACACAACTCATTTTCTTAATATTTAGGTCTAGTTAGGATACATATCATGTATCTTTAACATGAGTTTTTTTAAGGTTATTTTTGGTTTCTTAGAGAAAATTTGAACGGAAGGTGGTTGATTGCGACACGAAACCACAAAAATCACTTCAAAAGTCAGTTTATGTATAAATTGAAATACAAAGGTGATTCTTTTAGAATTGCCCTACTTTTAAGATGGTTTCTATGAATAAACCCATTAAAATATCGTGCTTGTACCTTGTTATGTAACCATAGACCCAAGGACTTTAGTAGTTTAGTTGATGGATTGTGGATAGACAATGTATGTAAAGCAATCTTAATACTTTATATTTGGCTAGATTACCATATTGGCCTATAAAGTGATACTCCATCAATAAGGCCTAAAAATTGATGCATGCGATGAAAAAACTTGGAAAGAGACACACTTGACAAACAAGGCATTCTAGTTGCCAAGGTTCTGGTATGACGATAAAATTAATGCTTTTTCTAATATACCCCTGACACTTACAAATTTACCCTCCATATTTAGATATTTGTACCAAAAAAGACCAAACTTCCACTGCCCCTAACCATCTCCTCCATCCTCCTTTCCTTCCTTCCCCACTCCCTCTTCCCTTTCCTCTTCCTAAGTTCCTCACCTTCATGTCCTTCTCTCTCTCATTCTCCAATCTATCTTACCCCTCTTATCAACTTCTCTCTCCTCTCTCTCCCTCCTTTTCTCCCTCCCTATCTGCCTCCTACGACAACAACAACAACAACAATAACAACTAAGCCTTTTTTATCCCAAATGTTTGGAGTCGGCTACATGAATCTTATTTTCCCATTCTATTTTGTTATGAGTCATCTCATCCGTTAAGTTAGTCCTAACCATATCCTTCTTAATTTCTTCTAATCAAGTCATTCTAGGTCTATCTCTAGATCTCCTAGCCCTATTAACTCTGATATTATCGATTTTCCTAATCGGTGCATTGAGGGGTCTCTGTTGGATATGTCCAAACCATCTTAATTTATTCTTTCTCATTTTATCCTCAATAGAAGCAACCTCTAATTTGCTACGGATGCACTCATTTCTTATCCTATCTTTTAATGTATACCCATAAGACTATCACAACATTCTCATTTCTACTACATATTTTTTAAACATGTTTTTTAATTGCCCAACACTTTGGTCCATAAAGCATAGTTGGTCTTATAACCGTCTTATAGAATTTTCCATTTAGTTTCATTAGTATTCTACGTTCAAATAAGATTCTCGAAGCACTCCTCCATTTTAACCATCCCGATTTGATTCGATGCATAACATCATCTTCTATCTCACCATCATGCCTAATGATCCTAAATAGCAAAAATGATTAGTTTTAGGTATTTTTTGGTCATCAATATGTACCATAGCCCCATCCAAAAAAAAACCTAAAACATTTACTAAAAGCAAGGAAGGGAGTGGAAGGGGAGGAGGAAAATGATGGGAGAGAGAGGAGAGAGATGTTGTGAGATGAGTAAGGTTGAACGAGGCAGAAGAGGGAGTGGGGAGGAGCAATTGGAGATGGTGGGTAGAGACAACTGTTTTTTGTTTTTTTTTGTGGGGGTGGGGGTTGGGGGGTGGGGCAAATATTTGAATTTGAAAGATAAAGATGCAAGCGTCGGAGATTTGAAGGTATATATGCAAAAAAATTTGATTTTGCGACTCAAATCAAAACTCAGGTGACTATAATATGACTTGTTGGTTACATGTGTCACTTTTTAGGTCTTATTGTTACCGGTGTCAGTTTTTAAGCCTTATTGGTAAATGTGTGTCACTTTATAGGCAAATGTGGTAATTTAGCCCTTTATATTTTAGACATGCCCAACAGTCTAAACACAAAATGAACTTAAGATAGAAATCTTTTTTCATCACATGCCTTTCTATTAGGATGGAAACAGTCCAACAGAAACGAAAGCCAAAAGGTAAAAGGTAAGAGACTAGCCAAAATTGAAATTCTACAAGATACCGAAATCAAAAGTTTTAGTTCATACAGAAATGGCCAACAACATGTTTTTAGTATAAGACTCAGTGTGTCTATGCTTTGTGGTTCAATATTCTATCTTACACCTTCGAACCAAGGGGAGATGATCAAATGTAGTCCCAATGCTGACAAAAGAGTTCCACAAATCAAACTTGAGCATGTGTCCTCCTTGGTTAAAAAATAGTTTAATGGCATCGATGTTTGAGAACTTGTACATACTAGCATGCCTCCAGATTTTTTTTGGCTTAACATTAAATAAAATTACTTATTTGCCAGAAGAATCGCTTGAAATCTGTGGTATCATATCTAGTTACTTACATAACTGTGCAATGGTATTTATTTCCTGATTCTAGATCCTTGATATACTTATAAGATATATCCATTAAAATTTTATACAGGAAATATGTTTCAAGTTTTAGAAGTAGCCGCACGGGGACACTAGGATCTTTTCTTGAGACAACAGGTAAGCACCTGATCTATTTCTCTGTTTAAACCCATTAATTTTACTTAAGGCAATTCTGATGCTCTCTATTATTGTGAAAATCTGGAGATTATAGATTTTGTCTCTTCTATCCTCCAATGAAAAGCCAATGCTTAAAATGTTTCTCTTACAGAGTTTTTGTGTCTCTTACAGAGTTTTTGTGTCTCTTACAGAGTTTTTGTGGCGCTGTGTACTTAAGAAGCAACTGGAGAAGGCCTATGCTGTGTTGCTTGGTTGCATGTCAGTTGCAATTCTTTTAGCTGAAGCCACTCTCTTACCAAGTGGAGTTGATTTATCCCTCTTTTCTATTCTTATTAAAGCAGTCGGCAAGCAAGAGATGCTTGTCCAGGTAAATGTTTGAATGTCTAGTTTCTTTTGCCCATTTGCTATATATTCCTTGTGTTTGAGTAAGTTATTTAGTTGAGGCACACTACTTATTATATTTTTCCAGAAAGGATTTGTCATGTCAGTGGCCAAAATATTCTATTAATTTCATAGTAACACTAGAAATCTCAATATATTCAAATCTAAGTTACCATGACACCTCGTTTGGGCTCCCGTACCCGTGTCTGACACTTCATGTATCTGTGTCCGACTCTGACACTCCTTGGATACTCATTGATGCATACATCTATTTAGACTTTTCCTCAATTGTTTAATACATGTTTTTAGTTTAAAGCACTTTTTATATCCTTCCTGGACGTATGTCTTACACTTCACATTGACATTCCCAATTCAGAGGTATGGTTTTAAAGGATCGTTTAGTTATCTAGTTAAGAAACGGGCGGTTTTCAATTTATAATCTACTTACATGAAAGGAACATAAAAATGTTATAGGAATTTAGTTCTTCATAACATGTGAATGAAAAAAAATAAATCAATCATATGTAAAATTATTAATTTCAACTTGTATATAAATAGCCGTGTTTTCGTATCTCACCTCTTACAAATTTGCCATGTTCCACACTCATATCTGTGCAACATAGTCCCAAATTAACGCCTCAAACCTTTTAGGTGGAGTAAAAATCCACCTCTGGCTGGTCTCTGTTTACCAAATTGAACATGCTGGTATTCTCTAATTTGGGCTGAATCACATTAGATAATTAGAACTTATACTTTAAAAAATCCGAAAGGATAAGCTGTTCAGTTGTGGACTAAAAATCTATATCAAGGTCTATGGTAACTTAAACTTTGCTTCATGTGTGTGCGGAAGTTCTTCCAGCTGAATTTGACTGGAAAGGAAATCCTCTTGAAACCTGGTGGCTGGTGCTCTAGGATAATTTAGAAAAACAATATGCTACAAGCGTAGGTTGTTGGCTTTGGCTAATAGTGTATATCAAACCAACTTAAGTATTTTAACACATTAAACAGAAACCGGTTATTGAAAGTACTGGAGTGGTGAGGTTTTGACTCGAAAACTATTTTAGGTGTTAATATGAAGTATTACGTTTTCAGATGTTATATTGAAATAGGAGTGGTTTATGGGCTGATATGGAAACACTTCCCGAAAATTCAGTAAACTATTTTAGAAGTTTTGTATTGTAAAAAAAAAAGGCTTTGAGGTGTCACTTGTATCACTGTGCTACTTGAATAAAAATATTTTATTTTTGATTATTGCATTGTCAAAACACTTTCTAAATAACTTCTTGTGGACAAATCCATTCATTGCCTAATATTTTAAGGCCTTATCTATTGGATATGCCATGGTGCATTTTAAAAAGTAGAATTATTTGAGCATTAAAATCTCTGTATGTATCTGCACAGCTTCTAAGAAAAAGATGCCTGTACATGGCATTTGCATAATTGTTAGAACAATGGCTTCTTGGTTTATGAACATGTTAACGATGATGCCATGCGACTCTTTGATGCTGGCATTATGAATCCCCTTTCGACAATCATTGCTGCCAAGGGAAGCATATTAGATGACAAATTGTCTTTCTTAGTTTCTTATGTTGAAGCAATCTTTTATTTCAAGAAGAATTATGCAAGACTTTAACTTTGTTTGGCTTGTCACATTCTCTGGTTTTAGAAATCAGATAAGGCTAATCTGCTAATGTGATAGAGCAGACTACTTCAAGTGCATAATCCATTTACTGTTCGCCAAAAAAATCTTCTTCATCCAAGCTTTCTTTCCTGAATTATGGGGCCGACTATGGAGCATAGTTCCAAAATCGAAAGGCTTCATGGAAAACATTGACTAACTTTTTGCTGTATATGCATTCTATGGACTCGTTTGTCAACTTAAGATCAATCTTCAGTGCAACATTCCTGGCCAAGGAAAGAATAAGATGAAAGAGGGTTGTAACACGGAAACCTGAGGGTGATAGGCCTGCACAGCGTACTTTATTGATCATGCAATTTGAGATCTGCAACCTAGGGGCCCTACATCCTAGAAAATCCTTTCTTTTTTTTGAGCGTAGTGAGATATGGTTAAATATCTCTTCTTTTGTTGTAAATCTTATAATTTTTTGTAACTTGACTATGTAGATTCATTGTCCATTCAGTTTTTAATTCATTTTAATAATGTTTTTACAGGTAGCTGCATTTTCTCCTCTGATGTACATGTGTATCTGTACTTATTATTCCTTATTCAAGATTGGAATGCTTATGTTTTATTCATTAACACCGAGACAAACAAGTTCAGTGAGCCTGCTTATGATTTGCTCGTAAGTTTTCATGTATATCTTATATGTAGTCTTATCAAATGATTTTGGATGTTATTTGACTGACAACTTTATTCTTACATGTTCTCCAGAATGGTTGCACGTTATGCACCTCCTATTTCTTATAATTTTCTTAATCTCATTCGTCTTGGCGGTGATGCGAAAACTATGTTTGAAAAGGTAATTATTTGCATCTCTTCCTTTTGTATGCCTTGTTTTGGTTTATTGTGGTAGTATTTGTGTTTGTGTGTGTTTTTTCTTTTTCTTTTTTCCCTTTTTTTTTTGACTTTTTATGATATATGACGCCCAAAACTTATTTGTTTCTATAATTAGATCCCCAAGTCTTTGTAATTTCTAAATAAGACCCCCAATACCTTTAAGTGTTTTCGAATAGGACCCATGAAGAGTTTTTATCCAAATATTTTACCTAAGCGTGGTTAAGTCTTAAACATATAGAGTAAATTACAATAATGGCCATCAAGAACCTAACCCACTCTTCCTCTAGGTTTGTTTCTCAATTCCTGTGTCTAAGTTTAGACCATTTTGTAAGTAACCCAATATTTTATATATTTTTTAATTAATTCCTCAACTTTCGTTACGTCTTCTTTCTTAAACCATGGCCATGAGCATTTGAAGCACAGTCGATCAAGTGAACCAAAACATATGGGAGTTCGAGGGAAATTAGGGAGTTCTCCAATAAAACATTATAATATGACAACAAAACCTTATAAAACCCACTTGGACTGTTGAGCTTTCACGGCCATTGGCTAGGTAAGAAGAAATAAAAAGTTGAGGGCTGATTTCCCAAAATAAAAATCATAGGGGTTACTCCAAAAAAGGGCCTATAACTTCAGGGTTGACTAGACTTTGAACTCTAGGATTGGAGGTAGTCCTAAAAGAACTAGGTTGGAAGCAATTAATAATAAGGTAATATTTAACAAAGATGACCCATAATAGAACTGCATGGAAGAATATGATTCATGTAGTTGATGCTAAAAAATATAGGACAAGCGATTGGTTTCATTGTTGTAAATGGGCACATTCGTTCTTGGACACAAATATTCCAAAAAATACTATTTCCATTCTTACCAGAGGAGACAGATGGATAACGAAATATATTTATTTGTTATTCCTTATGTTTTCTGTTTCTTATCATAATCCTTATTTGTTTACTTTTAGACCACTGGATATGTCCCCATGTGAGCTCTATTGTTACAGTACACCTTTCCATTTTGACTGCCAAACATTGTAATGTTTGTTCATGCTCTCTAATGTTAGACAAATATGAATGAGCTTTCTCTTGTCTCTTCTCAAATTAATTTCCTGATTTGTTCTTTGTTTGTAGTTGTACTTACTGTTACTTTGGCCCTTTTCCTTTTCATCCAAGGGTATTCAAATAACTAGAATATGGGTGCCAAAAATGTTGGCTTTATGTTTGACTTATAGTTGCCACTTTGCAAAATGCGGTATATTCTGTCATTTGATTTGTCCTTGATCATTTTTCCCCCTTCTTTAATGTGTGTATCAATGTGGTTAGTTTTGGAAAATATTCTTGCTTGAATTATACTTTTCATTTTTGCAGAGGATGGGGAATATTGATGATGCTGTCCCTTTCTTTGGGAAAGGATTTAATAAAATCTACCCCCTTATTATGGTTATTTACACTGTTCTCGTTGCCAGCAATTTCTTTGATCGAGTGATAAATTTCTTTGGAAGCTGGAAATGGTTCAGATTTCAGAATGAGGAAGAGGATATGAATGGGTTTGATCCCTCTGGACTCATTATTCTGCAGAAAGGCAAGTTCAGCAATTACCAGTCTACGTCTCTCCCTGTGTTTGTATTTTTAAATATGTTGTTTTCCTAACCTCTTATCTTGTTGAGTTATTTAATTTTCTTTTATTTTGATATTATGAATGTGGATAGAAGTTGCTCCTATGTCATTTTCTAAGTGCTACAACCTTTTCTATATTTTCAGAAAGATCTTGGCTTGAGCAAGGTTGTAAAGTTGGGGAACAAGTCATACCATTGGCGCGGAATTTTAACAGTACGAATGTAGATTTGGAGTCTGGCAATGTACCTCAGGCGAGTTACATGATTTATATGAATATATCAACACTTAAAAGTCATATTTAACCTTGCTTGCTCTTCTTTGCTTTGTGGATGCAAGGGATGTTGACATGTTTCCTTCTGATTTCTTGTACCTGTTTCATCATAACAATATTAAAAGAGGCATGGATTTGGACAAACACGACTCATGACGTGACACACTATACTTCATTTCCTTAGAAAGCAGGACACGGGGATACTTCAGCATGGCATTGTAATCTATACTACATATTAAGAAAAACCTCCCTTTTTGTTTGTGGCTTGCGTTTTCTAAATCCCATTAGTGTCCTTTCCACTTGGAGAAAACTATGGAAATGCCTAACAGTTGAAAAAATTAAATGAAACACGCAATACTCTTTATTTTTGGGAGCACTTGTGAAAATGTTCTATATATTCCATCAAAATTTGAACTTTGATCCATTTGACTGCATTTTCACTAAAGGAAGAAAGAAATACCAAAACAAATTAAGTTTCTACACTAGAGAACATTGATGATATTTCAGTTCAAGTTTTTCACTTTATTTAGTCTCTGTGATTAGTTTATTCTTTGTAGTAAAAAAATATGATTATGCTTTTTAGTATATTTTTATTGTAGAATATCTCTATTACTATTCTATTTGTGTCTTTCGTGATTGTATATTTTGGCTTTGCTCCTGCTTTCAGGATATGGCATCCAAGGATGAAGTAACCGGGACTCCATCCAAATCTCACAAAGAAGAAAGCCGAAGATATGGTTCCCATAGGGAAACCTTAGCAAACAAATATGCAGCTATACGAGAACAGCAAGTAAGAGATCTAACTTCCACCTCATTAGCCAAAGAAAAAGTTACTTCAACAGCTTCAGTCTCTTTGCTCGACGCTAGTGGCTCCCAAAACCAGTTAGTTGGCAATTCAAGCGTCTCTTCTTCAGGCATCTCATCTACTTGGGCGTCTATGAAATCTGGATTTCAAAATTTCAAGGCCAATGTTGGGGCAAAGAAGTTTCTTCCTCTAAAACAGCTTCAAGAAACTACTTCATTTCACACTCGCGTCTCTTCTTCTGAGTCCCTTGATGAAATATTTCAGAGATTGAAACAAAAACCGAGCAGAGATCATGGCGGAAATCATGCCTATAATGATAGCGATGATGATATTTGATTTTATTGGACAGAGATCTAATACTCCATATTCAGGATTTTGAGAAATTAGCAAAGTGTACAGTTCGTGTGGTCCCCAGAATTTTTCACAGTGCATCTCCTAAGGACTGCAAGGGGATCTGATAGCATACATTAGAGCTAAAAATGCATGTGTTAATAGGTGTTACGGCATAGAGAAACAAGAGCTGAATTAGAGAGATATGATGATGTTTTGTTTATTCACTTAAGGTTGTGACCATATTTCTGGTTATTGTTGACTTATGTCTCACTTTGCAGGGATTGGACTAGAAATCTTAATTAAGGTATACGAAATATAGTTGTAAGCTACTTATGTTGTATGAACAATTCAAGATAATGGAATGAACGCTGATGCACTTGCACTTATGGTAATTGGTAAGGGGAGGATTAGTCTGCGTTAATTATGGTTACGAATTTTCATATAGTCTTTATCTTGTGGTAAGGGAGCATGTTTAAATGGTTTTCAATTATACTGCTTGTAATGTATATTAGAAAAATAACAATATTTTGCCGGTAGCTTA